TAACGTTCGAGATGAATGTAGAAATGGGTATGAAAAAGGAGAAGCCAGCTGCAAGTATTGAGTGGAAGGTGAAGAGTTCGAAAGAGAAAGCTCCAGTGATTGAGAAAGATAAGTGTGGGATGTACCCCAAAAAGGCTGAAAAGAAGCTGTCTGCATGGATGTGTGCACTAGTTCGGGCGAGAAAAATGGTGCGCGACATTGATTCAGGCCCTGACTAGATATTCAGGAAAGTCTCTTCTACCTATGCTTTTTAATTGTGTGTCATGGGGACATGCCACAACTTAAAGGGTGGGGTGGGGGGAATATATTTGTATGTTGTATACATGTTAGTGTTAGTCTTTAATTTTGTTAGTTGTAGTAGTAGAGATAGAGAAAAATGTTGGAAAAAAATAAAAAATTTAAAATTTTTTAAATATTTTCCGACGGTGGATATCATCGACATGTTTCTTGAGGGATTAAAGTCGAAGGAAAAAGATAAAAATATTTTCTTTTGTTAGGTAGTGTAATAATTCCCCCTCGATTTTTCTTTGTGTCGCGGTTATTTTCCAAGGGTTTTGTTTGAACCGGGTGTAAGTAGTTGTTATTTTTAGTTAGGAGTAGGAAACCTTGTGCTATGATCTGAATGGAAGGCAATATCTCCTAACTCTGTTATACCTTGAGAATAGTGAGTGCTTTAGTTGTGACGCTTAGGCTCAATTTTTGACAAGTACCTTAAATTTGTATGGTTTTAACTTTGCTTAACTGCTTTGACTAGAGTATCTTGATAGTCCAATCCTGAGTGAGTTATGTGAACAGTGTGTGAGAGTTTTTTGTATTATTATATGCATTATATTTGATGTCTAGAACTTGCCCCGTGTGTTTGCAAAGCGAAATAGTAGTTTTATTCAGTCTTGGAAGTGATATAGGCATTTCTTTGTTGAGCCAGTTATATGTGTTTACCCACCTAATTGTTATGTATCGTAGTTAACCCCTTTGAGCCTGTAATCCTGTTTCTTGGGCAACCACATTATAAGCCTTACCCATTTGTTTGCATTGACTATCTATTTGAACTTTTTCACCTCTCGTGAGCACTTGAATTTGTTATTAACTTTGTAAAAGTTGAAGTTTGAGTGGTTGGTTTGGCTTTTGAGTGGAACTATTGAAATAAGGAGAAAGGTGCAATGTTTTGAAAAAGTGAGAGCCACTTAAATTGAATAAGAAAAGAGAATTATATTGTATTGTTGTGAAAAATATTCCTTGATAGTGGTAACTCTTGATGTAATTGTGCTTAAAGAAGTAGGGAGTCATTGTACATTGATGTGAAGGTGGAGTTTTGATTTGACATAAGTGTGGGGTTTTGAACAATGAAATGTATGTATTAAAGTACCTAGGGAGGTGTAGTCGCTCTTATATCTAAAGGTATCCTACCCGTCCCACAACCTACATTACAACCAATTAAAGTCCTACTTGATCCGTGACTGAATGAGCTCAATTAGTATTGCAGTACACTATGGGAAAGCCTATGGTTCATCTTTTGTGGCATATGAATGTTGTTTCTGAGAGTGAGCGAATTATTTATATCTTGAGTTCCTAACTGCTCTTGAAATTTATTTGTGTGGAACTACTCTCTTTTCTTGTGTGAGGGCACTTTATTCATGAAGGGAAAAGTAATGTCGTTGACCTCAATGTTAGAGTAAGTGAATGGGTTTTGAAAAATCCGTGGTACTAGTTAGTCAAATCTTGAGGCAAGAATGTTACACTATTGTGCTTGGTGTATTTCAAATATTCTTGGTATTATGAGTTAAGAGAGTTGTCTAAAAAAGGTCGTGTCTATAAAAAGTGTAGTATAATTGTTTTAGGACGAGGAATTGTTTAAGTGTGGGGTGTTGATGGTAGGCTATAATCTAGTATTTTAGTTGCTTATTGCACACTAAATTACTGCACTTTGACTGAGTTTGAGCTTTAATCGCTAATGTTTTGCACTAATCATGTGTTTTATGCCTTGTAGGAGTGATTCCGATCTATGTAGATGTTATGAAATGAATTCAAGCTATTCTAGAGATTTGAAGTCTGAGTAAACGCCCAAGGATTAAGTTGGGATCGTGTTTAGGGGTCGAGCACCAAGTTTGGACGTCAAAAATCATGGAAGAAGCAACAGCTGAAGAAATACACTAGTGTGATGCACTGTACGACGCAGCGGTGTAAATTAATGTCAGAGATTGATAAAGTTAAGAGGCCACCAAGGTGCGCGATCGCACACTGAGCGTGCAAGTAAGGCACAAACTTTCCAAAGTGCACGGCCATATGCGCGAGCACACTTCCAGGTGCGCGGCCGCGCACGTCCAACTCCGGAAAGTGTCCTATTTCGCGTAGGAGAATGTTTTTGTTTGGACCCAATCCTACTTGGTATATATACATGGAAAACGGTAGTTTCTCGACTTTTGACACACCTAAGACCTAAGGAAGCTAAGGAGGAGGTGGAGAAGCAAAAGCACAAGGATTTTATCATGCAATCCTCACCCAAGACACGAGTTTGGATCGTTTTATGTTTTCCTTTAACTTAAACATATTTGTGATGAATTATTCCACATCTATGGAGTAGTTCTCTTTAGGATTTGATGGATTTGGTGTATTGATCTTCGTTAGTGGATTATAACTCTAGTTTTATGTATTGAAGCATTTTTGGATGATTTAACTGTTGCATCTTCACTTGTTCATGCAATCTAGAGAGGCATAACTTGTGATATCTTTGCATTATATTGTTGGTTGAGTTCATTAAGTCTTATAAGTAATCGAAAGAGGCTAGTTGAATCATTGATTAAATCTAGTAGCCTTCTCAACTGGCTGGCCTCCCATTCAACTTTTACTAAAGCTATATTCTTTGATCTCAACTTTCAAACCCGTTGATCCAAAATGGCCACCGGCTCCACTTCATAAGTTAAATCTCCATCTAACTGAACTGTGATGAAGTCCAAAACATGAGACAGATCACCATATTACTTTTAGAGCATAGAAACATGAAACACTGGGTGAACACCCGATATACTAGGTGGCAATTCAAGCTTGTTGGCCACCTCTCCAATCCTCTCAATAACCTCAAAAGGACCAATATACCGAGGGCTCAACTTTCCCTTCTTCTTGAACCTCATCACACCCTTCATGAGCAAAACTCTACACAATACCTTCTCTCCCACCATATATGCAAAATCACGAACCTTCTGATCAGCGTAATTCTTCTATCTAGACTGTGCTGTGTGAAGCAGATCCTTAATCAACTTGACATTTTCCAAGGCATCCCGAACCAAACCATTGCCCAAAAACCTAGCCTTTCCCAACTCAAACCAATCAACTAGAGATTGTCACCGCCTCCCATATAAGGACTCATAAAGAGCTATCTGAATACTCAATTGGTAGTTATTGTTGTAGGCAAACTCTGCAAGTGGTAAGAACTGATACCATGAACCTCAGAAATCCATGACACAGGCGCGTAGCATATCCTCCAAAATCTGAATGGTGCACTCAGATTGTCCATACATCTGAGGATGGAATGCCGTACTCAACTCAACTCAACTCGTGTGCCCAACTCTCACTGCACTGCTCTCCAAAACTACAATGTGAATTGCGTGCCCCGATTAGAAATAAAGGACACCGGCACACCATGAAGACGAACAATCTCGCGGATTTAGATTTAAGCCAGCCGCTCTGAAGAATAGGTAGTCAGAATCGGAATGGAATATGTGGACTTAGTAAACCGGTCCACAATCACAAAAATTGCATCAAAATTCTTCAAAGTTTTTGGTAGCCCAACAACGAAGTCCATGGTAATACGCTCCCATTTCCACTCGGGGATCTCAAGTCTCTGAAGCAAACCGCCCGGCCTCTGATGCTCGTACTTTACTTGCTGACAGTTCAAGCACTGAAAGACATACTCTACTATATCTTTCTTCATTGTCCTCCACCAATAGTGTTGCCTCAAGTCCTGATACATCTTGGCAGCAGTTTGATGAATGGAATACCGCAAACTGTGGGCCTCCTCAAAAATTAACTCACGCAACCCATCCACATTGGGAACAAAAATCCAACCCTGCATCTGCAACACCCCATCATCTCCAATAGAAACCTTCTTGGTATCACCGTGGTGCAGTGTGTCCTTAAAGCCAAGCACTGTGTCCTTAAGGAGAAGAAAACATCACAGTTTTTTATTAAATAAAGAAATTTTTGCATTTAAAGTCATGGGTAGATACAATGCTAGTAAACCATAAATAAAAGGTGACAATATTGGAGCAAAACCATTAACATCAACTAGAATATCCCAAAACTCGGTGCCACAAGTATATGAGCAACTACTAAAAAATACAATACCAATACAACATCTGTTTGAAATGTAAAATAGACAGAATAACATAACCAAACATGAAGAAGACTTAGTGTGTTGCGGATCGTAGCATGAAAAAGGGTCAATAGTTGTACATAGTTGAGGTATCAAATGCTTGATTCAGTCTCATACTTGCTCTAGGTATACACACTGGCCTAGAAAGTCTCACTGATAATAGTGCCTTATGATATTGACTTATGGTGTCTGAAGCTTTACTGCGGAAACGACTAAGGAATTTCAAAGAGTTGGTACTCTGACTCAGGCACGTGCCATCTTGTCTAAAGCCATTAGAACTTAATAACTGAAATTATTGCCGCTCTTAGACTTTCTTAATCTAGTAAGCATCACTTTTATTTGTTATCAAAGTCAGGCAGAAATTCTATTGTAATTAAACTCATATTAACTCGAAAAGCACATTTGTCAAAAGTAACCATTATTAGAGTCATGTTAGAACCCAAATTAGTCTCTCTCTCTCTCTCTCTCTCTCTCTCTCTCTCTCTCTCTCTCTCTCTCTCTCTCTCTCTCTCTTCGAATCAAATCAACATTATTGTCTTTAAAAGCCCTCTCTTGGTACCTCTCCTAAATTCACTATTTCTTTTCAACCCTAAGCAAGAACCAAAGCAAAACACTTCGTCCTCTATCCACCATGATTAAGCCTAGGCAGACATCTTCAACGACAAAGTCATCATCAAAGACTAGGTCTAAATCAAAAAGTGAGAAGTCTAAGTCAAAGAAAAGTGAAAAATCGACTGTCAATTCTGAACCCTCACCCGCTATTTCTCCACCTATGCCCTCTGATGTCCCTGCACCACTACCCACTGTCATTGTTCCACCTAGAGCTTCTACCCTAGTTGTATCTCCATATCCAATACCAACAACCCATGCACCTGTAACCGTCTCACAAATCACCACCATACCCCACAAAGGACAAGGCTACTTCCAGGAAATTAGTAAAGTGCAAAATGCTAGTTGATTGTGCTATTGTTAGGGGGAACCGGAGCTAAAAAGGGCTACTTCTCAAAAGAAACCTGCAATCACCAAGGATATTCAGGTAAAACTTCCTTCATCAAAACTTGATGTTCTAGCATCTACAATTGAGGTGTTTCCATTAGAAGTTGTTGAACCCCTAAGTGACACACCACATGTAGAAAGTACTGTTGTAGAAAAGGAACTAGTAGCTTAGCAAAAGAACATATAGTTGCATACCTATCTGTGGTTGAGGGGGAAGGTGAGAAACAAATAGGGGAGAACGAAGTTTCTGATGGAAGTTCTCATAGTTGGACTGATGAGAATGATGAAGAAACAAATAATGAGGGAGAATGAGAAACAAATAAGGATGGAGAAGGAGTGCAGCAGAAAGATCAACGTTCTGAAGAAAAGAAAAGTGAGAAGGAGGGTGAACTGGGTGAAGGAAAGAAAGGTGAGATAGAAGAACAACAAGGTGAACAAGTGGGAGATTCAGAAGAAGAAAAAGGAAGTGAGGGAGAAGATGACTCTGAAAGTGTGGGTAATGAAGAGGAAAAAAAAGTGAAGGTGGGGGTCCTGAATTTGAGAGTGAGGTAGAAAATGCAAGTGTGGAAAGTTGAAGTGATAAAGATGATTTGACACTGTATAAGGTAGGAAATAAGAACAAGAAAACCAACAGTTGAATGTGATGGCGACAGTGCCTAACACTATTTGCTATACAAATTTGATAAAACATGATTTAATAAACTCAATAACGGAAATATCATGAAATAAGTGATAAAGATACAATAAAACTACTATGACCATCCTAATAATCTGGTTTTAACGAGTACATAAGCACTACTAAATATCAAAACACAAACCAAATCCTCAATACAACTGTCTGGACAATAGAACAGTATTAAGGGAAAATAAAGGAAAGATAGTCAAGGCCTGCAGAACACATAACATCTACCTCGAATTCTCCCAAATACTTATACCAAAATAACTCTAGCAATCACCACATCCGGATGTACCCTGATCTGCACACGAAGTGCAAAGTGTAGTATGAGTACAACCGACCCTACATACTCAATAAGGAACAAAACTAACCTTGGGCTGAATGTAGTGACGACCTTAGAAGAAGACATTCAGAAACCAATATTAGTGGCAACACATATATAATGATGACAGTACCAATAGGTAACTCAAAGGAATTATCGCAATCAGCTCATTCACGTTACGGGAATTCGGGTATGCTTTCAAGTATAACCATTAAGGCCCAACACTAATGAGAACATTTCATTTACCAGCTAGCATGAGGAATGATACATCTCTATGCCTAAATGCCAAATATGCATGTCAAGTGAATGATTTCATATGGAATCCCCAAGTGCTCTCACTCTCAGCATACTCAAGGTATCCGTCATAAATGACCACTTCATCACAGACACACAATCACTCAACACTGTATGCGTACCTGGCATCAATGCCCCTCACCAAAGCACGTGTATATATATCACCCTGCCTGCGCCCACTGCTGGCATGTCAGACTCCGGAGGTGAAGATCCTACCTAAGCGCTATCAAAAGCCAATACGGTTTGATGTGGCATACAGGCCGACCCAAATAATAATAAAGCCAATATGGCCTGCTTCGACATGCAGACCGATCTAAATAACACTTTCAACATGGCTCTAAGGCTCACCTCAGTCATCAACCTCTCAAGTTTCAAGATCCCACAATCTCATATCTCTCAGCCCGACAACACCACACATGAAAAAAATAATAACAACATGCGATGTAATAATGGATGACAAACAGAGACTGAGATATGATATGCAAATAAAGAATCATCAATGAGTGTATAGTTACAACTAAGTCAGATAGCCCAAAACAATAGAGATAGTCTCATTAGGTCTCAACCAAATAATCATATATCCTAAACATTATTTGTAACATGAATCACAACCCAGATAATCAAACAAGCAAGGTGAACATGGATATAACATCAAAACAAGTCCGGTAACATTCTAAAAGTCAACCCAAAACATGATTACTCCAGTGCATGCCCACACACCCGTCACCTAACATGTGCGCGTCACCCCAAAACATCACAAATAACAAAGTTCCTAGTGATAATTACCCTCAAATCCAAGTTTAGATATGTTACTAACCTCAAAATGCGTAAATAAATACTCCAAAAAGCACATCCCGTGTGAATCGGCCTCCGAACGACTTAAATATAGTCACAAATAATTTAATATCATCAAATTATGCCGTAGGAAATAACTTTAAAAAAGAAAGCTTCGATCATTATCAAAATAAAAAAGTCAACGCAAAATGTCAATCATGGCCTTGTACCCTGGAACCCGGTCAAACTCATAAATTCCAAACACCCATTTAATTACGAGTTCAACCATGCAAGTTTCGTCCAATCCGACCTTAAATCGACCTTCAAATCCTCAATTATCACTTTCCAAAAGTTTTTACTAAAATCCCCCATCTCTTCACTTTGATTCATTAATTAAATGCAAAAAACAAATATGGATTCATTAAATAATAATAAATCAGAGTCAAAGACACTTACCTTGATCCAAATTGTTAAAATCCCCTCTAAAATCACCCAAAACCGAGCTCTATAACTCAAAATGTGATGTCATGACCAGACCCTCATAAATGGAGTTTTAAAACATTCTGCCCAAAAAGTATGTTAGATCCCCTCCAAATCACGTTTAGGACTCCTTATATACGAGTTGTGGGGTCTTGGGCCGAAAATAACCTTTTTCCGGGCGAAATAGGAAATATGATGTACCGCAGCGTCCAGACCAGAGCTAGGCGCCGGACCTGGCGCTAAAACTAGTAGCGTTTTCACGCTCAAATCTTGGTTCCCAGCTAAATTTCCCTTCTTTCATTATTTTCTTTTGCATTGTATATATTTTTCTTCCAATTATGGGGAAACACCAAAGGGTGTCCCCCCTTTGTCTTCTCCCTTTTTTTTTCCGCATTTTATTTAATTTTGCTCCAAATCTTTTTATTTTCATAGCGCTTTATTCCTACACAGTTAAAATATAATATTAACAACAACAAGAACTATCCAGTAAAATCCCACCAGGTGGGGTCTGGGGAGGGTAATGTGTACGCAGACCTTACCCCTACCCAATAGGGCAGAGAGGCTGTTTCCGATAGACCCTCGGCTCAGAGAAAAAGAAAACAAGAAAAGAAAAGACAACTCATTAGTAACTCCAGTAGCAACCGTAATAGTAATGAAAGCATAACAACCAAGATATGAAAGACATGCAATAATAGTAACCAGTATCTAAGGCCCAGGGCCAAGATTAACAGCAAGTACAGAGTGTATTCAGCCTAAACTGCAAAATTTAAGAACAAAATAATAGAATTAATACTCCAAAAACGATTAAAAGTTCTATAATGTGAGGCAACAACGAGTAAATATATGCATTTTTTTGGCCTAACATCAACACCCCACACTTAGACTCTTGCTCGTCCTTGAGTAAGCATTAAAACCACTCTCAATAAATCAAGCCTAGAATCACCACCACTTCGGTTAGTAATAACAATTAGGCCCTATGGCAACTCAAACCATCAGATATACACTTCCTCATCATCGTGCAAGATATAGAAGTCACAAACAAATAATAAACTTCTAACCTTCTAACCTCAGAAACGGACTCTAACTTACCAAATTTAAGCTCGCTCACCTACTCTGTCAAAAGAAGTTAATAATATCACCTATCTATCATGAAATAATTTCCCTCACAAGAATAAATAGTTCGTACACTCAAATCAAAGAAGGAACATAATTCAAGGACTTAGCATCAAAGAATAACTCTCGCACTTACAAAGAATTCACATGTATGCACAAAGAACCATATGCTTGCCCATTATGTACATCTCTACTAATTGAGTATGCTCGAATAGAAATAAATAGGACTTTAACGGGTTGTAATGTTGGCTACGGAACGGGTAGGAGAATTATATAATAGTGACTTACACTTCCCTAAGCACTTTGCACTTTTAGGCTTCATCACCCATTATTTTCTACTCTTCACTTTTATTTTTCAGCCCTCTCTTCATCTATTATTTCACAAGTAATTCCCTCATATCAAGAACGCATATTTTTTTTCAAACCAATTCTCTTCATTCTTTGTTTTTTCATGTCGTATTCTTTTCAAGAAGGCCTTTTCATCACCTTTCAGCCATCATTGGTCACCATTTTTTCCTTAACCATCTCATTCTTCAAATTTATCAATTAATATCACGGTCTATGCAACAGTGCTAAGGAAGCGGGGCGCAAAACTTAGGGATTCAAACAAAAGAATCAAGAAAAAAATATGGCTTCCAAACAAAAGGCTACAGACTCAACAGGCTAACTAGTGGTGCAATATCTAAAAAGGCTAAAATTCACAAGACATATCAAAGAAAGCCTATTATCATCTTCTGAATAGAGCAACACTTTTATTTCGCTTCAATAACATGCAGGGCAAGTTCTAGACTAAGATGCAAAATATGAAATATATATAAGAAATCATCACCCCACATAGCACAAGTATCAATCAAGGTGGATCAATTCTACTCTAAGACAGACAGGATCATAGCGAACAATAAAATAGGAATAAGTTATATACTGAGTCACAACCCTGAGCTTAGGTGTTAGAAAGTCTGCTATTTTATTCATTACTCAAGCACTCAGAAAAAAGTACTACTCAAGCTCAGGCCTAAATATGCTAGTATCAAACAAGTAACCAAAATTTTTCTTCTCCCTCTTTTTCTACTCCTAAAATAAAGAAAAAATAATAATTTATTCCTAAAAAAATAGAAAAAACTTACCCGCTTCAAGTTACATCCCTTGGAAAAGAACCGATGCACAAAGAAAAACCAAGGGAGATTATTACTTAACTAAAACTAACTAGAACAAAAAGAAGATATTTTTAAATTTTTTTTCATTGGACCTTAATCCCTCAAAAAAGCTGTCCACAAAATCCATCATCAGGAAAAGTCCTAATTTTCTGATTGTTTTTCTTTATCATTTTTTTCTTTTTTATTTTTAACTAAAAACTACTACCCTAAAAATGAGTACTACAACTAAGCTAAGATAGCACAGAAAATCACTCAGACAATCTCCTCACCCCACTCTTAAAATTGTGCAATGTCCTCAATGCATACTGAAAAATAACAAGAGGATAAAAGAGACTCCCTGGTAGGCCAAAGGCCGAAGAATTAACGGCAGAAGAATTAGCAGCTCACGGGATACTCAGACTTCTCCCAGGTATGATCTCTTGTGCGGGTACCTCGCACTTAGTTTCAACCACCTGCTCGCATTTGCACATACCTATTGACTTTGACTCCATTCTCCTACTCCTACAAAACACAAAAATAATACTACCAAAAAAAAATTAATACAATAAAATAAAAAATAAACAAAAGAAAAGGAAGAAAAAAAGAATTGGGTTGCCTCCCAACAAGCGCCTGATTTAACGTCGCGACACGACATCATCACTTTTACCACTTTTCCTTCCACTTTGAGGATATGAACTGCGCCCCCAATTTTGCATCAATTTTTTCTGTCACGTTCATGGGGTGGTGGTGAAAAAATAAA